AATTTTTAAAATCCTTACCAGAATGCTATTGAAGTTAAACCAAGTATTGCTACTTTTAATGTTATACAGTTAAATATAACATGTGCTATTATTAATAAAACAGCAATTTAGAAAGGTGGAAAACAAATTCTAGCATATAACTGTAATGCCAAAAGTAATTCTAGAAACATTCTTACATTATTTCTACAATGTATACCAGCAGTAGCAATCATCAGCAAATCAACTGAAAAGAATGAGGTAGATAAAAAGTACAATTATCCTTATGAAACTTTGACTAGTTTTTTTCCCCCCTTCAATAAATTAAATTGCTTATAATGGTGCACATTTCAACCTACAATCTTTAGTTACCATGAATTGTATACGTGGGACTTGTTTTAATTTTAGTTATATATTTTATGTATATTTGTGCATATGGTAGCAATTCATATAAAATACTGCTTCATCAGTGGAAATATTTCTAAACTGTGTAAGAAGGTATAATGAGAAGTTGATTTTTAGACTTGAATTATCTAAAATATTTTATTCTTATTATAATTTAGTATTGTGCATGTGTTTGCATTCTAAAGTGTTCATTTTTTTTCTAAAGAGAAATATACTTACCTCTTTTCCATGTATTTAATATCTAAGAGTTGGATATTACTTAAAATTGAAACCACTCCTTAGTTGGCTAGCAGCCAAACTTTTGGGTAACAAAAGGCCATTGTGTTTCCTGACGGCATGGGTATCCCCTGCACTATAATCTCAGGCATTTTTGAGAGAAAACATGGCTTGTGTTTGACTAAAGAACTTAACAAATTTTTGCCTGATGTTAAAGCAAAGATTTCATACTCTGGTTTGATCAGTGAAAAATATGTATACCTTTCTTCAGAGGCTTTCAATTGAAGGCAAGAAAACAGTCCCCCTCCCTCCAATTTACTTAGAACTCTATTGTTAACGCTCTTTTATCAGTCTCATCCAAAGTGTCCATTCATATATATTTATAAGTATAGTCTGGAAGTCATTTACAATGGCCATTAAAGGATGGTCATTAGGCTGGAGCCTTATGCAGATACTTGCAGTTTGTTTCTATTATTAAGTAAAGAAAAATCAACTGCAATGAGATGAAGATGATACAACTCCATAGGAGTTGTAGTTCTCCATAGGAACAAAGCTATACAAGCAGATATTACATCCATTTTTGAATACAAATAAAATTTAAAAATAGATTTAAAAAAAACATAAATAAAATTGAAGTCCCAATTTTACTTCTCTTAGATCTAAGATCTAGATCCTACATATATACTGTATATGAAATGAGATTACATTGCCCTTCTCATTTTGTCTCTACTTTGTCATATTTATTGTGTTGCAATTTTTGAAAAACCTCTTGAAATTTTAATGCTTACAGCTGAACTTTTCAGAACCCAAGAAGCCTTTTGAAATATGCTGAGTTATTATCAAATTTCCCACATCTGTGAAGTATCTGAATAATCTGTCTTCCTTCCGTCAAAGACTTCTGCATAGAAATTTGCTAATTGCAAAACAATCAAATGTTTTGAAAACAGGATGTTTCTAGGTCCCCATAGTAAAGAACAGAAAAACAGAAGAGAAAGGAAGGCAGCAAGTGAATCCTGCAGGATTCCAAGTGTGAGGGCTGTAAAAACAGTGACCTATCTTCCTGACCTCTGCTATTGCTAAGTTCCTGGCTCCGTGCCACTGAAGCCCAAACTACGTCATTTCAGAATGATAGTGGGCATGGCACAGCTGTTGTAAGTGTGACTCGAATTTCCTGTCTCCTTCCTGACAGACGTAGTTTTAAAACTACAGCATTGCAAAAACAGGAGACAACTTTTCAGAATTGCTTCCCAAAAGATGATTCTTCATATTGATAAATGTCAAGAGATCCTACGTGAAAATATTCAGGGTTTTTTTCTTTCTTTCAGTAAACAAGGTGGAAATGTTTAAGTAAAACAATTACTTAGAAATATGAGGAATTTATTCCCTGCCATTCAGAAGAGAGATTCAGAAACTTTTAAAAACAATTGTGAAGATGCAAAAAGCAAACACTCTCAGCAACCACTTCCTCATGCAGCAGAGCAATATATGTGGTTTGGCATATTTTTTACTAAAATGATAAACAAATCTTTTCAGTTCTATTCAATCACATGATATCAAGTAAAAATTTACTGCTGCTAGCCCTACAGTTTCATGATGTTTTTCTGATGTAGTTTCTACACTGCCAAAGTTTCCAATTTCTAATTTGAATTAACATTCATTATGCTCATTTCTGAATCCTATCTAGAGTCTTAGTCACCTATTACCATAGGTATAGATCAAATAATAATAAGGTATTGTATTCATTGGGCAGATAAGTCTGCTTTTGATATAACGGGGTCTCTCTAAAAGCAGGCAGAGACTGAGGGCGTCCTCATGTTACAACATTATAGGTATTTCTAGATAATTAGTAAGCATTAATCTATATCAATAGTTCCCAATGTGGGGCCCACGCCCCACAGGGGGGCAATTTGATTTTTAATGGAGCAATTTGAACCTTGTTTAAACCAAGTTAATGGCCTTTTAAGCTTCCTCTGCATGAGTAGAGTTCACTTTTTGAGTAAAGTAAGAATTATATGTCACAGGGATGGCATCAGAGTTTTAAAGATGCTTACATGGGGCATGGCCAAAAAAAGGTTGGGAACCACTGATCTATATGATCACTGTATTAACGAATAATAATTGTTATTTGTGACTTGCAACTTTGTGATTTTATAGCATGGCCTCTTAAATAGACCAAACATTGGGCCAAATAATATTCCCAAATATTTGTCTGTCTGCTAGTATGTAGGGTTTGTAAATCCATGTTTTAATATGACTTTATATGCAATTGAGATTAGTGAATTTAAAATATTATGTTCCAATTAAACATTTTTTGTTATAAAATTAGGACTTCACTTTGCCAGGATAGCATATTTTTAGTTCTCCTGGACAATAATTTTTATAATGTTGACTTTAATATCAGTTTGCTTGTACTTAGGTAATTATATTGTATATTATGTTTATGACTGAAGAATTTACCAAGCTTCTTTTTCCACATGTGAATCTAGCTATTTTATATATGGCGTGACTGATGTAAGGGGAGCAGCAGCAGTCACAGAATGAGGCAGGCTGAGATTTATAGTCACTCAAATGACCCCAAGGGAGATGCATCCTTCCATCACGTAGGCACTTTCTGAAATGTCTCATTATACCTCCTCTCCTTTGTTAGCAATGTCACATACTAGACCATTGTCCTCCTTATCTGTAAACTAAAATCTATTGATGTATACAAAACTTTCGCTACACTCCTTCCAAAGGGTTTTCAGTCACATAGGACACTCACGTCTTGGTTTTAGGAGGCTAAATAAACTAAACACGAGTACTCTAATGTAAACTTTGGAGGTAATTCCTGGCTGTTTGCCCCTTGCCTATGTGCTTCATTGCACAATGTCCATATTGAAAAATGGGGGGGGGACCTGATATGAGTCTGCCAGGACTGAATCTAGCTCACTTGGTACGTGATGTTTTGCTTAAGGTGTGCCAAGCTGTTCTTGCTTTTGAGTTTACTGTAATTTCCTTTGTTTATCTGCATTACAAAATAGTCATACATCTCTAAAAGATTTACTTGGATTAACTGCTGGCAGTCAACTAGAAAACCTGCTACTTCAATTTTCTTTGTTTCTTAGAGAGGGCTTTAACAGCTGTGAATCATAGAATTCTTTGGGACTCCCTTTTAGTTGATTGCCATTTGACCTTAGGAACTGTGGTCTAGAAAAGAAAGACTAATAAGCCATAAGAGTTGACTCAGAATTACCTGCGGTTTTATAAAAAACGTAATAAACATATGATAAATTTCAAGTAAACTCAAGCTAGAGTAATTCAATGCTTGCAAGTATGAGGTGGTTCAAAAATAATTATTTAATTTAATTAATTTTAAATTTGATGTTACAGTGTAAAGACTTGTTTCTTATTGAATCTGAGGAACATTTAAATGTGATAACCTCTGAACCTCATCATTTAGTTTTCAGGTGGAATAAGAAGCCATGCTGTTTCTTATTCAAAGACGTGAATTGTGCAAATATTTGGATCTATTTGAGGTCATGTTTCTCAATCTGAGCATCTTTACAATGTGTAGTTTTCAACTCCCAGAAATCCCCAAACCAATCAGAAAAACACTGATTTAAGATACCGAACACAACCTAACAATTGTTATTGGTATGATTAAATAACTGCCTGCTATTAAAAAACAAACTAAAAGAGTGTCAGAAAAAAATTGCTAATATTTCTATAGTTGCTTTACTTGTATACCCACTCTGATACTTGCTGGATTCAATAGCTATAAACTATATATTTTTTTAAAAATAGAGCATTTTTATAGAATCCATAAATTTTGCTTTACTACTGTTATTTACTCATAGATGTATAGGTCCAAAGGCCTTTTTTACTGGTCTTTATTCTTTATAAAGATCTTAGATCTCATCAAAATGCATCCTTTCAATTTCCTGATTTTGTCCTTATCCTTAAGGGCTTTACCCTTTTTGTCACTGGATACCTTTCAGAATATTCTTTTCATGTATCACTTACCAAAATGGAACTCCCCTAACCTCATTTAACAGTAACCCCACTGTTCACTTTAATGTCCCAGAATGTGGAGGATGGAGGATGTCTACAATCACTGTGAAATAATGGTTGCCTGATAAAATGTGTAAATAGCCTACAAGCTGCTAGTTGGTTATTTTAAGCTGTTTTCTAAAAGACAGAACAACCACTAAACATGTCTTTGAAATAGGATGCAAAAAGATCTAATTGTGTCATAAAGTTTCCTCCAGGCAACCAAACTCAGGGTTTCTACCAAAGGGTGTTGTAAATTAGCACAATGAACTTAGGAAAGCATAGTCAAGAATGCTGAAGCTTCTGGAATGGATGTGATTGAACAAATTAACCATTTGTATTCTTGCCCGATGTGTTTGGATACCATTCCTCCTCTTCACAAATAGGTTGAAAGAGTTTTGTCATGACTCATTTATTTCATGTACAACCACATGTTTAATATGACTTTTGTTTGTCTGCATGTAAAGTACCATATTTTCAGCAGGTCACCTTTTCCACATGATAGGGGCAGGAGGTATTAAAGATGGTTTTAATAGTGGAAGCACTTGATTGATTTTTCCTGGGCAGGAACCTAAGCAGAGTTGGACCTGATAGATGGGAGACCCTGAGGGAATACCAGGGCTGTAGGTCAGACTGGGAAGCAAAACAAAAAAGAAATATTGGAAGAAGGCAATAGCAAACTATTTCACTCTTGTCAAGAAAACCAAATGGATATTATGCATATAGTACACAAGAATCAATCTTGATTCAGAGGAGACTTGTTTTTCATGATATATGAATAGAACAATTCAGGACAACATTATGTGAGCTGGGAAGTAACTAGTGATTTAATTATTACAGCCCATGATTGGTGATTTATTATGGATGGTTATTATGATTTAATTATTATGGCTCATTATAAGTGTTTCCTTATATAAAATGTGCACTTACTGATTGTCTGAAAACCATTTGAAAAATATTAGCAACAGAAGAAACACTTTTGGCCCTTGTTGCCAAAATGATTTTTTAGAGGAGAGGGAAGGATAGATTGGAAGGTGATATTCAAGGAAATGTACGCTTTAAAAATATTTTTGGTCTTGAGCCAGAATTTAGTGATGTGCATTCGTGCATAACTTGTCTCTAGCTCTGTACTATTTATTATCCTTTGTTTAAACTGGATTATAGGGCCAAATAAAGCATTTAATAGAACTAAGATTTCCCAAACATACCATCAGCCGATGCCAACTTTTCCTGCACCTTTTCCTGCATTGTGTTTCCATATCATATGAATCTTTATGCAGGTCTTTGTGCCTGTATCTCTTTTTATAAGACATATATTTAAAGGCAGGTGCTAAATTAAGACTGCTAAATTCGCCCTTTGTTTTTAGAGAAACAGAAGAGAGGTTTTATTCTGACAAGATTCCTAATGCTAGTAGACTTGACATTGGCCCAAGCATTCATACAATATAGTAAATTCTACCTAAAAATATATTCTAGTTTTCTAAACCAATATTGGAAGAAAAATGTGTACAAGAGCTAAAATAGGTTGCATGTAACTACATACTATTTTGTTATATTTTGTTAAAGTGGCATGAAACAAAGCATTTGTATATACATGTTGGTACTCCATTTTAATCTCTTTGCATGATACTATGCTTTTTCACCCCAGAATTAATCATAAAGGGAGGAGGTCAGGGAAGAAATTTTGTTCCTTTTCTTTTAAAGGTTTGCCTAAAGTTAATCTAATAAACCCAGCCTTTTCATCTTGGTCTAGCTCCTGGAAATTATCATAAGGGAAAATTATTTTATTTTAATTTAGAAGGAGAAATAATTCAAACATACATTTAATGGGAAGCTCTTGTGAAGTACAGCTTTCCAGACAGTTTCCAAACCTATGGAAAAGAAAAAAATAAGAACAAAGAGCTTTTATGTAATTAAAGCTGCTTGTGCATATTCTGGCTTTGTTGGGGAAGTATTTTCTTAACTTTATTACGTGTGAACATGAACCAGCAATGAGCCATAAAATAAGTACAAAAAATGGAAACATGAGAACAGAGACTACGGTATGTACATTACATACATTTACATTTTCATATGGGCAGTCGCATTATCTTATTTCATCTGTAGATGCACTCATGATATAAACTACACCAATACTATTTTTCTTTTATATATTATCTTTTGTTGAGGAGTTTAGAACAGAGGAGACGTCAATCCCTCTATCTGTTATTCTCATAAACACCACCCTATGTAGTTGGTTGGGGTGAGAAACAGCTACTGCTGTAAGTGGCTTCCATGGAAGAGCCTGAATTTACTGACTCTTTAAGGAAAACTGGAAAATCTTTACTTAACCCTTCTGACGCAGATCCCTCCAACCCAAGACATATTTTTTGTTATGCAAGTTATTTTGATGCAATTGCAAATTACTGAATAGGGCTTGACAAACCTGTAAGGAAAAGGAAAAGTGCTATTTTGAAATAAATGTGCATTGTGTAAATAAGTATTGGCTTTTGTCTGTAAAGAAATGCTGCAATCAGTGGTGCACTAAAATCTTCAAATTGAGATTAGCTCCAGGTGAGACGTCCATGCAGTCACACTGAACAAATATCATGTTTTTAACAATCTGTGTTTTTAATAATATTTATTTACTCGGAAGGTTTTAAAGCTAATGTTAATGGGACATACTCAACTATTTTTTTCAGAAATTAAGCCTTACCTAAGTTTAAATGGGATTTTATACAAAACCAATTCAAGATTTTTAGGTATAAATTAATGTATTCTAGATGAAATAACAATTAGATTGTAATTTCATGACGTTAGAAGGATGAAAAGGACTTTGAAACTAGCCCACAGTTGTAATTTTACACTTTCTATAAGGAGATTTCAAATATGATTTCAATTGTCATTAGGATTTTGCTATTTGATTTTTTTTTACATCCAGTACTTTTTCCCTATACTAATCAACTACACCAAGTAGATTGTGAATCTTTCTCTTTCATTCATAAATTCCTTAATTAATTTGGCAGATATCTTTGCCCCTGAGAATGTTCAGATATAACAGAAACAACCAAGTTTAATTTCTTCAAAAAGAACCCAAAACCATCTGGGAATTGAATTATAGGGGATATTATATACTCTATATAATCCAGGCAAGGAATATAGAATTCTAGAAATGCTTCCAAACAACAGATACTATTTTACGACTATGAAGAAAAGAAGTCTTTCCTTTTATTCGGAGAATCATATTGGATGCCTTTTTTTTAATTGAACCAATTATTTCTCACAAATGTGTATAAATGAGCAAGAGAGGGGATAGGCATGATATAAATTCTATCACTTATATACCAACATGCAATGTGCAACAGAAGTATAGAAAGGCAAGGTTTTTGATGTTTAATGTACATTGCATCATTTTGGCATCACTGTGTCAGTAAATAATGCCTACAGTGGATAAGAATATATTATATATTGCTTGGAATCTTTTAAAATCATATCACACAACTGTTTATCTATAATCTATTTCAGTTTACTGTATTTACTCATTATCAAAGTGTCAGTTTGAAACATAAAAATATGTATCAGTTCTTTCCTATAAAATTAGCTTCCCCAAATGGCTGCTTCCCTGACACATTGTATCTGTACCTTTAATCATTCCTAGCAAATCACTGACTCTGCTGGCTGATTTAATGAAAGTTGCAGTCTATCATGTGCGGATAGCTTCTAGAAGGCAAAATCATCAACAAGACTGCAAAAATGAAAAATGAAAGTTTACCTACCATTAATGTAAATCTAAAATAGTAACAACCAAAGATGTGACAGTAAAAAATTGTCACAATGTTTTTAAAACAACAACCAAAGCAAGGCCTCCATCACACTTAATCCCTATTACAATAGGCAGATCAATTTGCTGAATGACTCAATGCTAGGAAAACCTAATTAGGTCACCATTATTTTATAGTAGTTCCAAAATATGCATTATATTAGTTTCAAAACATGCATAACAGGAAACCGACACAACTAGAATCTGTTTTTCATAACTTTTATGTATACTTCAACCATTGTTTAAAGGTTTTAGAATAATTGTCTAATCAGGTGTGAAACATGATGTGTAATCTTGCAATACATCATATGTGCAGCATTGTTGATTAAAATATATAATGTAATTTGATTTTTAATGAAGAATAAATATCATTCAAACCTGCATATTCTTTTAAATACATGGTGCTGCATTTATATGAGTCAATGCAAACTACTGTTGGAAGAAATGTCGTTCTGGGTTCAGCTCCAAGTGGGGAAAAAGACACTGGAGGCATGGAGGCTGCTTAGAAGGATGGTTTAATGTTTTAATGGTGGACAGGACCGTAGAGCTGGAGGTCCTGGGGAAAAAGGTGATCACATGCTTCCAGGTGTTGGGCGAAGAAGAAGAAGGGTCAAGGGAGGGGCTTGCAGGGCTTTTTATAATCTGTTCGGCCCCACCTATCTATTTCCTGCTCCTGTGCAAGAAATGTATTCTGATTGGTTGTCAGACTCACATGGGGCCATGCAGGGGCAACTTTCTAGGCTGAGTTTTGAATCCAGGTTTGGTTGAGTTCTCAGATGCCATGTGGTCAATTGGGTAAAAGGCTTATACTAGCATGCCTTGATTCCATCCCCCTGGAGCTGAAGGGGAAAACTCTTATTATGTAAAGCAGTGGTTCCCAAACTTGGCAACTTTAAGACTTGTGGACTTCAACTCCCAGAATTCTCCAGCAGAGCTCTGCTGGCTGGAGAATTCTGGGAGTTGAAGTCCACAAGTCTTAAAGTTGCCAAGTTTGGGAACCACTGATGTAAAGGGATTGGCTTGGCCTTCTTAATGGCCCATTTACTAAAGGGTGGGGGAGACAGAAAATTGCAGGGAGAGTCACTTTGTCATTTTGAAACATGTTTCTTCCTTTTCACATCCAGAGAAACATAATATTCTGCCTTTTCAATATTTCCTCGGATATTTCATTTTTCTGGGAGAGGGCTGGGTGATAACTTCCTACAATACTCAATCCAAAATATTTATTTTCTTTGCTTTATTACCAATTTTACAATTTTACACTTCAGAGCATTGATGGCTTTATGTGATAAAAAGACATTGTTCAATGTATAGGCATTTATCAGAATTATCACCTGATAATCAAAAATAGGTAGCTGTCATTTGGTTTTTCCTATTCCATAGAACTATATAATGGCAGTGAAATATGGTCCTTCCTTGAAAAAAATCACTGGAAACAGAATTTATTTATTTAAAATGTATCTATACTACTTCCCATTAAATAAAGTTTAAATAATTAGTTTTTTAAATTAAATTATTGATATAAATAGGCAATAAGCATGGTATAAAATGTACAAAATAATAAATTAATATATAGTACCAGGGAAGTTACTAATGCATTCCCAAGCAAGAAAGAATAAAATGAAATTCTATTTGCTTGCTTTACAAAAATATAACTAAAGTAATGCCAGACATTTATCACTGAACTGAGCCTTTCACAAGGAGGCAGCTACTATACTCAGCAGACTCATGTGAATCTGCTTGAGCAGGTCCCTGGTCCCCCCTTTAGATTCTCTTAAAATAGGGCAGGAATATAGTGGAAGTTGTTCTTTCAAATACTATGGCACAAGCTGAAAACATTTGCCTACATTTTGAAACAGTGGAACCTTGTGTTCAATTAAGCACTTGTCTGAATTCAATGAAATCCCTAAGCTGTTTTCATTTGGATTGGTTTTCCTTTGAATTGCTACATCCTGAAGGAACCTGTTATTGTCAGGCTCAGTGTCAAGATAAGAATCTTTACTGCATACTAAAACCACTAAAACAGTTAAATGTTCTCTGTCAGCCTGAAGGTGCAGTTCCCAGCTTTATATGCACTATGGTTTAATTCCAGACCTTATTACTCCCACCTACATTGTTTAATTGTCTTTTCGGGTTGCAGATCTTGACTGTAAAGCTATATGTGGATATAATTTGCATCTCTACGCTGACAAATTCAGGATCTCAATTCTCACTATAATGAGTAGGGCAAATCAATTATTTGGAACATTCATGCTGTTTTCATAGAAAACTTTGTGCCAGTTATTATTATCTAAGTCAGGGGTGTCAAACGATGTATTGCAACTTTTCTCCCCTTCGCTCTAAACAGGGCATAGGCAGCGCATGACACATCTGGCCCACCGGCCACAGGTTTGACAGCCCTGATCTAGGTAGGTAGCCAGCCTCACAAAAAATGAATAAAAGGAATTCTCCATTATCAAGTTTTAACCTAAGAGACAATCTCTTCTTAATAATGTCAGTCACCTTTTCAGATTTTTAACATTTATATCTCAGTGATTTATTTTATGATTACAAGTATGAAACTATATATATTAAGCTGAATTTTTGCTCCATATTTCTGGGATACTTTAAGTTTGTCCTTTAATGTGAGCCTTAAATGAGATTCAGCTGCTGAAAGTTATCCTCCCACGTGCTCACACAGCTAAGATTTCTGACTTTTACATTGAGCATCATTTACACCTTTTCCTGTCTATATTTTATGACCCTTTCAGCAGTAAACCTCCCTGAGCTAGAGGAGAGTGACGCAGATCAGAAGTTACCTTTGTTCATGTGACTGCTTCTGTAGAATCTTCTTTGAAGCAGAAATTCAAACAGGCAATTCCAAAGGTTCCTATTCAGCTTATCTATCCTTGTAAGCAGCTGTCCATTTAGCACTTAACTTGCCAGAGGTAATATTTTATAAGCATATTGCAGTTTATATTTCAAAGCCTCACAGTTATATGTAGCTGTTATTAAATACAATGACTGTGCTAGCGTTTTAGCATTTCAAATTTTGGTTGTGGGTGTACTTAAAATTCAAAGCATTCCATATTCAATATTTAAGACACAAATAAAAATAACAGAAACATTATTAACATAGTACACTATTAACATAAGGTAGCCATGGTAGCCATGTAGCTCTGCTTCAGAGAGGTGTTTTAACAGAAAGCATGGGTCACAGCAGAATTAATAGGAATAATAACCCAAGGGCACCAAACATGGATGTTCTTCTAAATCACATCCTGACACCTTGTGTTGTTTTTTTTTTTTTTTTTGGACAAATCATGGATAAGCTGGATGTTCTAGGATTTTTTATTCATTCATATTGAGGTCACCTAACTCCCAAAATTTTACATCATTATCAATATATCAATAATTCCTATTAGCAAAGCAGTTTTGGCATTGAGATATTTATTGGCTTGATTTTCCAACTATTGAAGAATATGTAATTAGTCTACCATATAATATCTTTAAATGCCAAAGTAAAATGAGATAAGTGTTAAATGCAGGGTGCTGAAGAGTTTGTTCTGATCAGATGGCTACAATCACTTGTATCTGCAGTCTCTGTCTGATGGATATTTCTGAGATCAAAATACTTCTTAGTTTTTGATCAGTTGTTTACAGAACATCCATAAAAACTAAAACCAGTATTAAATTTGACAGACTCCTATATAGTTCTGTGACTAAGATGAAGCATCACCGACTTTTATGTGTTATGATTCATTGGAACATTGTTTCTAGTGGTTAGGAAGAAGCAAACTTCCAAATAATTTGATAATGAGTGATCATACTTATTTACAATGTAGGGTGTTTTTGGTCAGGCTTCTGCAAAATAATACAATTTTAGATTGAGTTACTAATTATGAATACTCTCATACCACATTGATTTTAAAAACCCTAGTCAAGCATCCTAGGTACTTTTTTCAAATTTTAGAAACCAACATTTAGCAAATTAAAATAGGATATTCTCACTTTATATTAGGCAATTTGGGTATAATTTGCATGCTATTCATATAACTCATGAAAATACATTGACTTCTGAATGTACTGGTTTCTTACTGGTTTTGAAGACAAGGAGCTGGTTGTTTTCCACATTAACAGTGACTAAAACATCTGCACCTTATTTTTTTTAAATTTTTGATGGTAAACACTAATTTTAAAAAGGGGAAGAATCTTTGCAGTGTTTCTTTTAATAATCTGCTCTGCCTTCTCTCTGTCATGGGTTGGATAACAGGAAACCCTTAAAATGAAAAAGGCAATAAAGATATTAGGGTTGCCAAAAGTCCTTGCTTCAAAGAGTCATTCTCATTCCAGACTACAAAAGCTGCAGGAAATTGAGTACCACATTTACAAAATGGTTAGAATCCTTTCAGCCCTTCATTTTTTCATAACTTTGTTAGTTATCCAAAGCTGGCATTTTCATGGCACAGAGAGGAATAATGTAAAAATAAGCAGGGATGAGGCCAGGCTTATTCCACATAGGCAGCAGGCATACAGTTGCTATCACACTGTTGGCTGCCCTATCACTTGATCTCCCTGAGGTATTCATTCCATTGATTTCTGAAAGGGGAAAGGCATGCTGTTGGGCAAGGCAATGATGCAAGAAAGGGGGCTCATCTGTGGCTATGGTTAAAAAAGGCTAGCCTAAGAGCAATTAAGGTTGCAGCTGAATAAGAAGACATATACACATTCAGGAGGCAAGATAAGTTAATATCAGGGCTCTCTGAGATTAATGCATTCATTAAACTGTTCTGAGCTCCTAAATTAGGGTGCCGTGTGTATTATTAAGATTTTAAAAGAGCCCTGGTGGCAGAGTGGTTAGAATCCAGTATTGCAGGCTATTTCTGCTGGCTGCCTGCAACCTGGCAGTTCGAATCTCATCAGGCTCAAGGTTGACTCAGCCTTCCATCCTTCCGAGATCGGTAAAATGAAGACTCAAGATTATTGTGGGCAATATGTTGACTCTGGAAACCGCTTAGAGAGGCCTGTAAAACTATGAAATGGTACACGAGTCTCAGTGCTATTGCTGTTATTAAGATTTTAACTGGCTTTCCAGTTAAGGAGATGATTTCCTCAAAGCAGCTTTTATAGATCCCGTTCGGATCTGCTAATCAGCTAATTAGTCCTTCTCCCCCACCCTTCCTCTCTTTTTTTAACCATAAGAAACTTTATGTCGGGCTACCTCTTTTTGGCTGGGCTCTTTAAGACTGCGAAATTAGCTTCTAATTGGTTTCCACCGCTTGCGGGTTTTTTTCAGCAGAGCCGTCATCGCTGCAAGACGGGGACCGGGAGGGAAGCCTTCCAGTAAGAGAGGCAGGCGGTCACGTGGTCCTGTTGCCATGGCGTTCTCTTGACCCGATGAATGGGAGCGCTTAACAAGGGACAGGCGGCGGCCGGCAGGGGGATCGTCACGTTATAAAACAACTCTGGCTGCTAATTAGGAAAAGAAGCATTTGTGCTCCCACTTGTATTCATAGGAATGTCCTGATGGCTGAAGGTGGAAAGGGAAAGAGAGTAATTGGCGTACGTTTTCATTGGCGATCATTATTTCATCTTGGATTATCTCCCATTTAGTGGTAACGCACCTTGTTTGACGCTTAGCACACACAGGACACACGAAAAATACTCCCCACTTTGGAAAAAGTCAGGAATCTCAAGTTGCATTGTTTAGACTGCAGTCTTTAACAGACGTAAGGGAAGCAATGTTTTAATGAAGGTTGGAAGGCTTGCTTCTCCGAACGGATGTTAGCAAGATAATACGAAAATAATCTCCGATTTCGAGCTGCATGAATAACATGATGCAGGAATGAACATGATTTGGTACTGCCCGTTCGTACGTTGGCTAATATCTCGAGATGCATTCTCCATGATTTAAAAAAAAAACCCTAAGAAAATATGAAGTACACTAATAATAGGGTAGAAAACATATACAATGTGGATGGATTATAATGCAATCATAAAAGCCCTGGTGGTGAGAGGAACACTGATTGCTCTCTTCCTTTTTTGTTGTTTGCACATACACAAGGAATTCCTCTGTTTTATCTTTAGATGAGTCTGTTGCTAAAGACAGCAATTTCTGTGAAAAGCTATTGCTCGTCCTATTTTTCTCTCTCTGTGTTCAACTGCACAATTCTTTCTGGATGGGGATACCCCTTCAACCTGCCAAACATCAAAGTGCTTTAAGATAACTTGCTGCAAACATTTGGATTAGATCTTCTGGTTCCTTCATGCAGCCAGTCATACCATTTGTGTGCGTGCGTATGCATGTGCGTGTGTGCGTGCAATTTCCAACACCACAGTCTTCGTGCTAGGCTGGAGAGCATTGCTCGCTGATGTGTAGTCATGGGTAGCCAGGATTGCTGGAATTTTAGACTTTCACTGACAAAGGCTCCAGGCTGTTCTTGCTATTGAGAGATTCCTCCTTCTGATCTGCAAATTCTGCATAGGAGATTTCTTGTTTTGCTGTGCAAAATCTTCCCAAAATGCCTGAGGCAAACTATTTGTTATCTGTATCATGGGGATACATCAAGGTGGGTTTAAATAATAAAAAAGAAATAGTGAAGTTGTTCCATATACGTCAGATTTAAGTATACTTTGTGTTGCTATATATCATAAACAGAAAAACAGGTTTATCATTAATCAGTAATAAACTCATACTGGATTAAAATCAACTGTAAAATGTTAATAGGATGGCATGCAAACTGACAGCATTGTTTAATGATAAATAGGAATGTATATATACTATATATGCATGATATTGTATTAATGATCCTGTCAGAAATATCTGCAAGTTGAAATTGCCTTTTTATATTATAAATAGAAAAATGACAGACTTACAACAGGTCTTTAAAGGACACCTAAAAGTATGAAATCAAAAACTGCTATAAAATCTAAATAGTTTTCCAACGTTATGTAAAATTGTAATTACCGGTTTTTTTAATGACACTTTTAAATCTTAAACTTATGTAACAGTGAATGATTGCATACAATTAGAAAATATTTTTTATTTGTTGTAATGTATTTCTGACTGTCTTGTTTAGTTATGTGGTATATGTTCTAATTAATATGGATTGTAATGCATTGTATCAGTAAGCAGACTCTTAACCTGAATTTTTATGTTCTAATTACCAACAGTTCAAGAGAATGTTAAACCGGGAGCTGACACATCTTTCAGAAATGAGCCGATCAGGGAATCAAGTCTCTGAATATATTTCTAATACTTTCCTAGGTATGTTAGTTAACATTGGATCGGTTCCTTGTAAAAACTTTTTGAGAAAACCATCACACCAAGCCAACCTCAACATTTCAGTATCTTTAAGGAAACAATCTCTGTGATAGTGAAAGGATCTCTTTTCAGAGAAGGAGATTGCGGAAACAGGAAGTTATCTAGGAAACTATAAAATTAAGAGGGCAAAATGTGGTGGAACAAATTCTTTCATAACCTTTCTTCATTTGCATGCTCTCCAGCTGAGAGTAATTCACCTCTCTGACTTTCAAGAATTCTCAGCTCTGGCCATGGAGGCTAAGGAACGCTGGGAATTGAAATCCTCTCTAAAGAGTACAAAACTAGGGAAAGTTCTCCAATGTCAGCATTACAGATGTGCATATCATAACCACATGTCCATAAGCTTGGGCGGTATCGTGCAGAATTAATCATAACGTAACATTAGTGCAGGCAAACATTTAATTTGTTAAATTTATACAGCTGCCTATCTCACTTCCATGATTCTGTGTGGCCTACGGTATTAATAGTATTATTGTTAACAACAATAATATTTACAAGTAGAGAAATATTGACAGAGATTGTTACTTAGCAACCATTAATGCTTTCCAGAATTCTGGAAGGAGTAGAGAAGTGCTTGCTTGGCAAAAGAGTCTTTTCTCAAGAAATTTTACTCTAGATGGATCATTTTGGGTTAGTCACGGTCTCCCAGCTTATCTTACCTCACATATTTATTATTGGTCAAAATAAGTGGAGGGAACAGTCAGTGTTCTGCTGAGTTTCTGAATAAAAAGCAGGATATAAATTAATTAAAAAATAACGAAGGAATGAATGCATTTTTCAGTCTGTGTCTGACAATTTGAAAACAATTCTGAAATTCTATATCTGCCCATTTTCAAATAATAGTACAAAATAATATATTTGGATCTAGCCCAATGTGTTTAATAAATATTAGAATTTTTTATCCTTTTTTTAATACAGACAAGCAGAATGATGTGGAGATTCCTTCTCCTACACAGAAGGAAAGAGAGAAAAAGAAGAAACAACAGGTTATGACACAGATCAGTGGTGTAAAAAAATTAATGCACAGTTCAAGCTTGAATAACACTAGTATTTCAAGATTTGGTGTGAAAACAGAAAAGGAAGATCATTTAGCTAAGGTCAGTGTGATTCATAATATTTGTATTTTTTAATGAAGACTGCAAATACATACAGTGTGTAAACTAGACATATTAGTCATACTCCACAAATCCTTTTTACTTTTCCATCTGTTTTGAGAAGACTGCTTTTCAAGACAGAAATGTAATAGTAACTTCCTCCATGGAATATGTTGCTAATTACTGAAAATAAAACTGTTGAAATTAATTTAGCTAAAGGGAATAGTTTAATCTGCCCCACCTCCCCACCCCAATGATCTTGGCAATATTTTGCTGTGTTATGATGGGGAAAAATTTACTCAGAAGTTTAGATACAGCTTTGGAAAATAACAATGCAAGTGGCTTAGGATAAATACGTTCTTAAGAAGAAACTTCTAATCCTAAAGTATTAGAAACTATTGGTAAGAGGAAAAAAACATATTGATACAATTACCTGGAAGACTTCAAATTAATTTCTGAATTATCCCAGCCCTGAAACTGATATAGATCAACTCCCAATTAAACAGTTTCAATGGGAGGGATAAGGAAAAATGGGAGATAGGAAATGTCACACTTTCAGAAACTAGTTAATGTAATAAATTATTTATCCTTCCATATGTTATATATTTGGGATAACTGTAATTCTAACTGTAGTTAGAATTTGTATCCTTAGGATTTAAGGAAAAAGTGATTTGATATCTCTATATAAATGCAATTATAATCTACATATGACCCTATTCTCCTTGTGATGACATTATGCATTCATTATTTTATATATATATATTCTTTAGGAGCTTGAAGATCTGAATAAATGGGGATTGAATATATTTAATGTTGCAAGATACTCACACAGTAGACCTCTCACTTGCATTATGTATGCAATTTTCCAGGTTAGTAATTGTGATGTTGTTGTTGTGGTTGTTGTTATTTTCATCTTCCAATTGCTATATCTTTAATCTAATTTAATCTTTTCTTAGTAATAAAGATTTTGGGTTTTTAATCATACTTCGACTACTTGTAATTTCTATTACTCTGTACAGGAAAGAGATCTACTGAAGACATTCAAAATCTCATCAGACACCTTTATAGCTTACACAATGACTTTGGAAGACCACTACCATACAGATGTAGCTTACCATAATAGTCTCCATGCAGCTGATGTAGCCCAGTCTACTCATGTTCTTCTGTCCACACAAGCTTTGGATGTGAGTTGCTTTCCCCTACCCCTGACACCCTGACAAACAATGCTTCCAAAATAATTTGCTTGCACTTGGTAATTTGCCATGGCCTCATGCTTTAATTAATAGGCCGAATATAAAAATAAGTAAAATTTCATGCACCATGCATTTGCTTTGATACTTCTGGCACAACACAACTGTTTCTGCAAGTTCCTTCACACAAGGCATTTGCATCAATTAACCAATTTCCAATCTGTTACATAAAGAAAATAGGTGAGTTTATAGAATTTCACAGTGTAATCTGTCATCTTGATATAAATCCATGGATTGCTTGAAGTGAACAGTACAGTATAGATTGTCCCATAATATTTTAGAAGATTACAAAGCATGCGATGAGAAGTAGACATCCATTTTTCAAATCTTCTGTTGTACCCCATTTAATGTTTCTTTGTTTATTCTCAGCAATCACACCCTTCTGCAAGCTCACCTCCTTCCCAAATGTATGGAATCTTATACTCCTTAATATGCCTTTATGTCATCTCACTAATATAACAGCTAAATTTTCACTAAGGCATATTGTTTAGTTCACATTTATTTATTTCAAGTTTATTGCTAGGAATATAAATGTAGGCTTACATTTTTGAGATAAGATTGTATTACTACAGTAGCCTCCTATGCAATATTCTGAATTTTTTTATATTTTAAAAAATTGCTTGAACGTGAGTTTCAAAACACATGTATTTACTTTTTTACTGTTGTCGAGGATGTATTGGAATTACTGCATCCCCACAAAAAAACATATCAAAAC